ACAGTCTATGGGGAAAACCAAGCGGCAAACTCTGGGGTACAGCCGGGAAGCCAATACGGAAGTGCCACACACTGCAGTTCATACATGGACCGCTAGGGACTGACTTTATATATACAGTCTATGGGGAAAACAAACCGGCTTCCACAATGCCCAGGAGCTGCTGTGTGCCCTTTTGTACAACTAACAAGCTTAAAAATCCAAATCTAAAATTTTATATTTTGCCCAACGGGAGCACAGAGCCCAGGAGAAGAACCCGGTGGCTTCAAGCGATCCGTCGGGAGGATGAATTTGGCCACCTGTGGGATCCAAAATCCAAACATGTGTACGTCTGTAGTCCAGGGTGGGAATTTCACGACGGCCACGACGGCCATGGCCGTCGTTGCCCCGCACTTTGGCCGTGATGCCCTGTGAAAAAAAATGCAATTCACGGCCAAAGTGGCCTTGGTGCCCCTGTCAAAAGTTCCAGTGTAAACAACGCTAGTAAAGTCATATTAGTGCGCGCAGTAGGATAGTCCCGGGCGATGCCTGTGCCCTGTGGATCAGAGCGATTGCTCTGCTGTGATTGTTCCGTCAGAAATGCCTGTAGGGGCCCGACAGCCTCCTCCTCAGCCGCGGGAGCAAGACAAGCACAGGTAAGCAAGCGGACCAAGCTGTTTTGATATGATTTAACTGAAGTATGTGGTAGTATTTGAAAGGACTTAACATTTACGTGTTTATAGAAAGTACTATTGATAGGTAATTACCATTGTATTAGCCTATTTAAAGTTGACTCGTTACATTTTGTCATGAGAACTAGCGATAGCTAGCTAGTTTGGATAGCGCTAACGTCTTCCCTTCAAGGGGTCTACATCTAGTGTTGCTTCTACAAGCTAGCAGATAGCTGTCACCTTTGAATCTAGTATTTTTCTTGCTAAGCGGTTTTGATATAATACATGACTGACTTATGTGGTTTATGGCTGAACTTAACGTATACGTTAAAGAAACACTATTGCTATTCAGCCATTTGTAAAACGACTGGCGTTGACGTTAGTGCTACACTTTTCAGTCATGTTGATTGACCAGCGTAATTTAACCAAACGGCCTTTGTGCCCTGTCATGTGGCATTTGTGCCCTTGAAAAAAATGTGAACGGGAAGGCCAAATGGCCTTGCCCCTAAAATGACGAAATTCCAAGCCTGCTGTAGTCAGCACTTTATTACAGGTATGACAACGTTATTCACACAATAACAGAGTTAAATTGTTTCGTAGTTAACATGAATGTTCAATTACTAGTTTTAAGATAAGTTAACTAACTACTACGTTATGCAGGCTACCTTGCTTGAGTATACAAAAACACAGCTATGCTAACAACACTGGTGGTAGCTTCCGAGCTTTCTGCAGTTAAAATGTGTTTCACCCACTTCTATCCCCTTCTCATTTCGTTTGTGAACTGTCTTGCCCCAGGCTTAAAAAACGAGGACATAGCCCACCCAGACTACACACCCTCGCTGTTCCCAGAGAGAAAATGACACTAAATGCAGGATTGCCAACTTTGGGTACCTGGCTGGAGTGAGATTTTGATATCATGGGTTTAATTACACATATGCGCACAAAATGACTGCCATCGTGTCAGCAGCGGGACCTTAGCATATATACAGGATATTGTGGTGACCACCTTTAATACACTGGGTTACATAATCCACACATGGAACTAGAGTTGGGGGTATTGTTTCCACACGGACATGTATGTGGTTGTCTATATGTATTGTGTGCCCTCCTGTCTTCTCTCTCTTGTCGTCCCGGGCTGCGACCCAACAACATCTACATTTCTGCTGCTCATTAAAGCAAGCTTTGTACCTCCATTGCACCGCCTCCGACTCCCTATCTCTCGGCACTACATTGGTGACCCCGACAGCGTCTTGGGAAGTTTCCGAGACGGACCCGAACACGGCAAAGGAAACCCAGGTTTCTTTCTCGAAATGCAGGGGATGTTTTGGAGTCGACCGTAGCTGCTACAGGCACGCGGACTGAGGCTCGGTGTGCGCCCCGCGGAATGGCTGGGGACGTTGCTCGCCATTCCCGCATCGGCTTTCCGGCTACAGGGAGACCATGCACGACCTGCTGGGTCGACCAGCAACCCGATTGCTACCTCGTGGGGTTGTTTCTTCAGGGCGTGCGGCTGCACGTCCCAGCTGCGCTAGCTAACGACAACTAGCAGCTAACCACGTTGGCTAACTACGGCTAGCAGCTACCGGTGGCTGCCAGCTAACGGCAACAGCTAACGGCTATCGACCCTTTTGAGTTTTTGCTTTTTTTCTGGTGCCGGAGAGGAGGTTCGACCAGCCGGTTGACCTCAGGTGGACACTCACATTTTTCACCACCTCCACGGCGGTTCCAGACGCCACTCACGTTTTCATCGACGCCTGGGTGGTGCACTCCTGAACCCTGTCTCGCCTCGACGGTTTTGGACGTCGCCCATGCTGCCATCGGCCCGTGGGTGGCGTGCTCCGAAGCCTGTCTGGCCTCTCCTGCCTTCCGGGGATATCCAGACGCCACTCACGTTCATCGGCGCCTGGGTGGCGCACTCCTGGACCCCCTCTCGCCTCGACAGTTCCGGACGTCGCCCATGCTCCATCGGCCCATGGGTGGCGCGCTCCGGGACCCTGTCTGGCCTCTCCTGCTTCCCGGGGATGCCTCGACATCTGCTGAGGACTTCATGCCCGCCGCCGCGGCACGTCTGCCTGCGGCCGGGTTGCTCTCCTGCTTCCCGGGGATGCCTCGACGCCTGCCGAGGACTTCGTGCCCGCCGCCGTTGCACGTCTGCCTGCGGCCGGGTTGCGCTCCTTCCTCCCGAGGACTTCATGCCCGCCGCCGCTGTGCCCTCGCCTGCGACCGGGCAGCGCTCCTTCCTGCTGGGGACCACCGGGTTGTTGACGCCCGTCGCGACTCAGCGACCCGGCTTTCACCGACTGGCGGGTGATGACTTAATTCGCCACGACGCCTACTGCGGCCCCCTTCCGACGGCCCGTTCCATGGCCCGGTCCTCACCTGCGGCCCCACCCTCCTCGGCCCCTGTGGTGCTTCCTCCACGGACGCGAGGATTTTTTTTTGCCATGTTTGAATTCTGGGGGGGCTTGTGTGGTGACCACCTTTAATACACTGGGTTACATAATCCACACATGGAACTAGAGTTGGGGGTATTGTTTCCACACGGACATGTATGTGGTTGTCTATATGTATTGTGTGCCCTCCTGTCTTCTCTCTCTTGTCGTCCCGGGCTGCGACCCAACAACATCTACATTTCTGCTGCTCATTAAAGCAAGCTTTGTACCTCCATTGCACCGCCTCCGACTCCCTATCTCTCGGCACTACAATATATACAATATATACAAATACACAATATTGGACACAGACTATAAAGGACACACAGTTTCATGCACTAATGAAAGTCAAACACATGTTTGTCTCCACTGTTTTATTGTGTGCCTGTCGCGATAAGCAATTAATTGACTTATCGTACGATAAATAAAAATGAACTCGATAAATTGCCATTTACATGAGGATGTGACTAGCAGTTTGAAAGGATGTACTTGAATTATTATTATATATTATCATTATGTCAGTGGTCTAAAATGGTCATACAACGGTGCCGACAATAATTTCCGGGAAAATGTATCCAACAAAATTAATTATCGTGAGAGGCCTATACTGTAGGCTACATGAAACACACACACACAAACAAATCTACAGACTTACTCCAAACTGCCAAATATATTAATTAACACACTCTCACTCTCATATACTCTTTGACTCTATTTTGGCCTAGTACAGCGGTGGGGCACAAGTCAATATTTGCAATGTAATTACACGCTCCCCTTGACAGTGAAACGCCACGCGTGAGGGTTAGATTATTTCCCTGTCTCAATCCAAATTGAACTGTATGATATAAAAAGGCACATTTGTCTTGTAGTAAATAAAAAGGGCGACCTGGAGCCAATCCTGCAATTTCCCCACAGGTGAAAGAGTTAACATGCTGAAAACCCAACCCCTGCAGGGGGTCTGGGGAGATTCTACCCCACGAGATTTTTTGAAATACTAACATAAAATACACATTCTGGTACTCTCTTGAGAAGAAAAATAAATAAATATATTACTACCCGACATATTTAAAAAATGAATGCCATTTTAGTTTTTTGTTACTTTGTTCTGAAAGCTCCTCACAGAGAGAAGAGGCTGTGAATGACTTTACTTTGTGGATAAGGGTGGATAGCCCCCATTGTTCTGTGTGTCAAAATGAAAGACAGCCCACACACCTATCAATCATCAAACCGTGGGGTCTTATTTCATTACGTGTTGATTTCTATCAACACGTAATATTGTATCGATGTGCATAGAGATGTAGCCTACTACAGCAAAAGTATTCTCCGTCGGGACTTCCTGCAACAACACCACGCCGTTATCTTGATTCTGATTGGCCAGAAGACATTATCAAATATGTTCTATTGAGAAGACGATCACTACGTGACAAGTTTTCAAAACCGTTTCTAGTCTTCGGTATTCTTGTTTTTGGCGTGAGAATAGTTTGGGCAGCGTGAGAGCGTGAGATTGAGAGTGAAAGCGTGTGTCACACGCCAGATGCGTGAGAGTTGGCAACCCTGCTAAATGTAAAGTCATGACAGGCCTGTCATGGACAGTATTTGACACTCTTCATCAGTAGACAGAAGACATCAGTAGACAGAAGACATCCAAGATGTCAACACAAGACCAGCTCTTTATTACTCTGGTGAAACTGCGGCAGAACCCCTCAACCGATATGATGTGTGGAATATTTGACCTGGCACATAGATATAGCACTTTCCTGGATGTATTCTCCCGATGGTTGGATTTGATGTACGCCAACATTTCTTTTTTGATTAAATGGCCTGATAGAGAGTGTATCAGAAGCACAGTACCAGCAGAGGTTCTCTTCCAGTACCCTAGAGTGACTGCAATTATCGACTGCTTTGAGTTCAGAATTGAACCCTCAAAGAAGCTGAAAACAAGGTGAGATATTTTTCTTTTTGATAGCATGCATAAAGTGTCGGGTTTTTGTAATACTTACCTGGCTGTCTGTGTATATGTACACAATTTATAGATAAGTATTACTAACGACTGTCTCTTCTCACAGAGCTATCACCTACTCAAAATACAAAAACTGGACAACAATGAAGTATTTCATTGCATCTGGCTCAATCACATATCTCTCAAAGGCTGGGGAGGGAGGGCTTCAGATGTGCATATTGTAAGGAACTCAGACTTCTTATCTCAGAAGTTCCACCATGCAGGAGATCAGGTAACAATTGAACTGTTTTTTTTTTTCTAATTTAAGTCTTATTTGTGAATTTATTATTTACCCATAGTTACCATTTTTTAGTTGCTGTTGAAGTAAAGTAGTGTTTTTAAGTATTTGTTATGTTTATTTCAGATTTTAGCCGACAGGGGCTTCACTTTGAAGGATGACTTTGCTGTTCTGGGTGCACAGCTCATCACACCGTCTTTCACGAGGGGCCGAAAACAACTGTCAGCCGAAGATGTTGCAAATTCTCGTGTGACTTCGAACATCAGAATTCACATTGGTAAGTATAGAGTCAGCAGTCAGATTCATACAGTATGTACATTTTAATGTTTTTGGTATTCAGAGTGTGCTGCATCATCAAATCACTGTTGCTATTTGCCGCTGACGTGGTTCACATTTCCCTAACTAAATTAATTACTGTAACAGTACAGATCCGGGTTAACAAGTGCTGAGACGTTATTCAATTAATCACATCAACGAGTACATGTGTAATCCCTACTTTGTAGGGTGTCTTCAGATAACATTTGATCTTAAAAACATGTTATTCTATATTTAAATACATTGAACTGTTGTTCACATTTAGTGCAATATCAAGAGAACAGGATAACAGGAAGTTAACAGGGATCTTTCTTCACTTTAACATGAAAAAGAAACACTAATTATAGGACACAATGCACTGACGATATGATATAACGGTCAACTGTGCTACTCCTGTGAAACTCGAACATAACACTGTAGATAAACAGCATTTTAACAACAAATATGTGATATGTGGTCTGCAGAGAGAGTCATTGGTGCCCTGAAGAGCCGGTACCACATTCTGGATGGCCCACTTCCTCTGCGCCTGGTGAAGAGACTGCAGGATGAGAGACAGAAGAGAGAAGAGGCCATGATTGATAGGATTGTGCATGTCTGTGCAGCACTAATGAACCTGTCTGGCAGTCTCATGTACAACCGTTACAGAATCTGAGAGTAAGAACAAAATCAATGTGCAGTCATTTAATAATGAGCATCAGAGAACAATATTGTATGTAACTTTTTTATACAACAAAGAAGTCATTATTGTTCCAATTGTGCCATTTAACAGGTTTCAGTTGAGACATAATGGATCTTTCTAATCAAAACCACCTGTTTGTCTTTCCACAGGTCCCTGAACTGATCTCAGTGCTGCTCTGCTGCTGCACACCCTGTCACCCTGCCTCTGATGCCTGACACCCTGCCTCTGATGCCTGACGCCCTGCCTCTGATGCCTGTCGCCCTGCCTCTGATGCCTGACGCCCTGCCTCTGATGCCTGACGCCCTGCCTCTGATGCCTGACGCCCTGCCTCTGACGCCCTGCCTCTGATGCCTGACGCCCTGCCTCTGATGCCTGACGCCCTGCCTCTGATGCCTGTCGCCCTGCCTCTGATGCCTGACGCCCTGCCTCTGATGCCTGACGCCCTGCCTCTGATGCCTGACGCCCTGCCTCTGACGCCCTGCCTCTGATGCCTGACGCTCTGCCTCTGATGCCTGTCGCCCTGCCTCTGATGCCTGACGCCCTGCCTCTGATGCCTGACGCCCTGCCTCTGATGCCTGACGCCCTGCCTCTGATGCCTGACGCCCTGCCTCTGATGCCTGTCGCCCTGCCTCTGATGCCTGACGCCCTGCCTCTGATGCCTGACGCCCTGCCTCTGATGCCTGACGCCCTGCCTCTGATGCCTGTCGCCCTGCCTCTGATGCCTGACGCCCTGCCTCTGATGCCTGACGCCCTGCCTCTGATGCCTGACGCCCTGCCTCTGATGCCTGTCGCCCTGCCTCTGATGCCTGTCGCCCTGCCTCTGATGCCTGTCGCCCTGCCTCTGATGCCTGACGCCCTGCCTCTGATGCCTGACGCTCTGCCTCTGATGCCTGACGCCCTGCCTCTGATGCCTGTCGCCCTGCCTCTGATGCCTGACGCCCTGCCTCTGATGCCTGACGCCCTGCCTCTGATGCCTGTCGCCCTGCCTCTGATGCCTGACGCCCTGCCTCTGATGCCTGTCGCCCTGCCTCTGATGCCTGTCGCCCTGCCTCTGATGCCTGTCGCCCTGCCTCTGATGCCTGACGCCCTGCCTCTGATGCCTGTCGCCCTGCCTCTGATGCCTGTCGCCCTGCCTCTGATGCCTAACGCCCTGCCTCTGATGCCTGACGCCCTGCCTCTGATGCCTGTCGCCCTGCCTCTGATGCCTGACGCCCTGCCTCTGATGCCTGACGCCCTGCCTCTGATGCCTGTCACCCTGCCTCTGATGCCTGTCACCCTGCCTCTGATGCCTGTCGCCCTGCCTCTGATGCCTGTCGCCCTGCCTCTGATGCCTGACGCCCTGCCTCTGATGCCTGTCATCCTGCCTCTGATGCCTGTCACCCTGCCTCTGATGCCTGATGCCCTGCCTCTGATGCCTGTCACCCTGCCTCTGATGCCTGACGCCCTGCCTCTGATGCCTGACGCCCTGCCTCTGATGCCTGTCACCCTGCCTCTGATGCCTGATGTTCTGCTGCCACTTGTGTTGCCTGATGGGTCACTCCCTGTGCTGCTTTCGACTCGACTGTGTTCTGCCTACTTACAGTAGCAGAAACATATACAGTGCTTATCATAAATGAGTACACCCCCTTTGAAAAGAACACAAGAACAATTTGATCAACAATATCAACAATTATTATCTGATTAGTATCAAAGTCACAAGTATAGACAAACACAATTTGCTTATCTTACTAAAGTAAATCAGGGCCATACAATACAGTATATTTCAAACCATGCAGGCCTGGGTTGTAAATAAAAACTGCCCCTAACTAGTATAAAATGCTGTGGTTTATTTCATATCACAGCGATGTTACGGAGATGAATTACATTGCAACATCAGTTTCCTCCAATATTGTACAGCCCATTATTCCTTCTATTTGTAGCCTATGTATGTTTTCATGTTGTAAATAAATGTATAGGCTTTGTGATATTTGATTTTGTACATATAGTCTATGTTGATACTGAATGAAATAGCTATAATATGCTTCAAAATGAATTGGTATAAATAAATATGTAACTCTGTCACTGTCATTTGTTGCCATTTTTACACTGATAGGAAATTCAACCACCTACCTGTGCATCTTTCAGCTCCCGAAGTTTGTGTAGTATGTGTTGTGACCAAAATGTTTGCATCACATTAATGGCACCACTGATGAAGTCCTCATCTCTCTGTACTCTGAATATTAGGCAGGTCTGAGGAGTCCAAGTGATTAAGTCTGCATACATCCGTTTGGTAACAAACATCTGCATTTGGACCTGTCAAATGCAATGCAATCAAATGCAATCATCATAACTCTAATATTTACATTATAGACAGTATGCCATATGTGGATAATTATCTTGGATAATTGCACAAAATGCTGCAGACTTATTAGAGGTGTGCAGGTATATGCAGGTGAAATATTGAAATACCTGAGTGAAATATACATGACTTCTCTTTAAGTAACACATCAAAGTTGAAATACGCTTCTGTCGTTTGCAAATATCTTTCTTAAACTTCATTTCCTCAAGATTTCTCTTGAAAGTCCACATTTTTGCATAAGCAGTGGTGTAATGTTGAGGTACTTGAGAATGTTCTTTTCGTTGCACTTTATACTCCACTACAAATCAAAGGGAAATATTGTACTTTGTGCTTCATTATCTTATATAGAGTTTATAAACTATAAGGTTCTGTTTTTTAATTTACAATTTTTTTTAAATATTGTTAGAAATCCTTGAGGTAATACGTTCTCAAGGGTTACTACAATTACTACAGGGTACTTTTTACATGTAATACTCAAACAGCATTTAGCTAATTATACTTTTACTTAAGTAACATTTTCATTACCAGACTTTCACTTTTAATAGAGTATTCTTACAGTGTGGTATGAATATTTTTACTTAAGAAAAGGGCCGGATACTCCTTGGACCTCTGAGTGACAGTATATCAATGTGTTTATGTGCCTGCTTTGTTTAATTTAACGGATGTTTGTGCAGTATTTGTTAAAATCATTGTAAACTGTAGATTAATCATGGCTTGTATCAGACAACAGACCAAAAATAAATGTGTTTGTGTTGTTTAGGTCAAAAGGACAAGTGGGTAAAAATGGTAATTACAGTGCTTTGAGTTATGTATTGTACTTTCAGTGTTGCTGTAGTTATGCAGAACTCGTCTCTTACATGTATAGAGAGGCGAAGTCCCGCCCATCTCCTTCCGACCCATGGGACCTTATTTCGGAAAAATGTTGTATTGAAGTCAATGGGGAGAGAAAGATTATCTTTCAATCCCGTTTGAATTGTGCCACGAATTACACATATGATGTTTGTCAATCTTAAAAAATAATTTCCAAGTCAAAAAAGTCACAGTTTGTCGTAAAACTGTTGAAATATAAGACTATGAAAAATACGCAACTAGAAAGACTACAAATCCCAGAATCCCGGTCCCGCATGCTGGCTCTTACGGAACCGACTAACTGCCCTTTTGTGTATGTAGCTCTCAACATGCCCAGACTTGTAGTGATTTTCACCTCTTTTAATACTTTTCGTCTCATTCTGAAAGAAAGAAGTGAAATGTGCCAACGTGACGGCCATCTTGGTGTGTGGTGCGAGACGGGAGATGTAGTTCATAGAGCGGTTTCACACACAAAAAAGTGTTACTTCACAGTTCTACGACACATTTTTATTTTTTTGAGTTGCAAAATTATCTTTTATCCTTACGCACGTTCTTACTCTACATTGTTGTCTAAGAAAACATATGCCTGTAAGTGTTTCTCTGCTCTGTTGTTTCAACATTGTTAATGTGTATGTGTGAGGGATACATTGTTAAATGGTGGAAATATTGCTGTGAATTCATAGTTGCAACGATGTATGTTAACCACTAGCATTTCAATGTAATTTCCCATCGGGGTTAGCATGAAGCTAACGCATGGTTTATTATATGGTTGTTAACACACGCGGGAAATGTATGATATGTTAAATGATTGCTATGCTTGAAATGAATGCACATTTTTACAAAAACTGAGTGTGACGGTAAAGTTTACTTAAAGGTGGGGTAGGTAATTTTGGAGAAACCAGCTCGAGTGCGCTAGAATTGAAAATACACAGCCAGAAAAAATCTGCCACTTCCTTACAGAGCCCCTCCTCCAACACACACGAATGCACACATGACCAATGAGGGCACGAGATAAGTTTGTGCACAGATGGAAGGCTGACAGGCAGGTAGGCCATCCAGTTATTTTAGCCGGGTCGGCTAAAAGGATTTGTCGTGCTTTTTACAGTACTACGGCTTCCACAGATGACCTGGCTTTATGGATTTGTTGTCAAAGCACTTAAGATATTCATTGCTATCGGGATGTTAAGAGCATTCCATGGAATATAACAAAAAGTGTATCTCGAGCCGGTTTCTCAAACTTACCTACCCCACCTTCAAGTGCCTTTAGTAACAACACTTCTTAACTGTAGTGTGTCTCTCCCCTGGATATTAGACTGCTATTTTAATTGTATTAACTGCTTAAATCGTGACGTGATGTTTACAGTGAAAACAGCTGCTGAGGTCCGTGCAGAAAGTAGTGCATAATATATATCACTCAATTATAATTACACTCTTTATTTGAAGGCTTTAGTAGATATCTACAAACAAAGAGTAGATCGTTTTCTACTTTTACTCAAGTACAAGACATGAGTACTTCTACTTTTACTCAAGTACAAGATCTGAGTACTTCTACTTTAACTCAAGTACAAGATCTGAGTATTTCTACTTTTATTTAAGTACAGGATCTGAGTAATTCTACTTTTAATCAAGTAGGCCTACAATTAGTAAGGCAGTAGGGATTGCCTTGAATCTCTCAGTCAGAGCTGGTTGATGTTGCTGGAAGAAGAGAGGTTTGGCGCCCTCTGCTGGTTTCTTTTCAGGTATTGACACACTAAAATGTCAGTTGCCCCTTTCACACCAACGCGTTTTCAGGGCCGGCTCGGAGCTAGAGCCTGAAAAGTACCGGTTTTTCCTCTTCACACCGCAGCGGCGCCGCCTCTTAGCTCCGGAATCCGGTTCCAGCTCAAAATAATTGTCGGCATAGAAGTAAGATTCTGGAGCTAAGAGGCGGCGTCGCTTACGTCTCTCCTATGTAAAGGCGGGGGCAGGATCAACGTTCTGAACCACAACAAAAGGCCCGCGTTTGATCCAGTTTTCACACAACGATAGCATAGCATAACCAAAGCGAACAGTGCTTATATACAATCGGCCATTGTTGTTATTGTCGATGTGAGGGATTTCCACGTGGTTTGGCTTTTATGAAGCAGGCACGTAAACGGTTACGTCATGACGCAAACGAGGCAATGGCGCAGTACCACCCCGGCTCTGTGTGGTGTGAACAAAGCGGGAGCAGAAAAGGGAAACCGGAGCTGAACCAGAAAAGCTCAGCACGGAGCTAGAACGGGAAAAGCGCTGGTGTGAAAGCCGCAAGTGGGATAGTTTTAAAATCCGAATCTATTGATTGGATGAAGTAGGTTTAATTGGCTCAAGTGGTGCAAACATGAACACAGTACGATAGATTATATTTACACGACCAGTCAAAAGTTTAGATAAACATTCTCATTAGAAGTTTTTTTATTTTTAATTGTTTCTACTTTGTAGATGTATACTGAAGACATCAAAACTGTAAAAGAACACATATGTAATTATCTAGTAACATTTTCAAATCCAGAATTTGATTTATATGTTGCTGGCTACTGCAGAATGCTGTGGTAGCCATGCTGGTTAAGTGAGCCTTGAATTCTGAATAAATCACCAACAGTGACCCCAGCAAAAATGTTGCGATAGGGGGGGTTATATTTTGGTAACACTTTATATTAAGGTACACAAATTAACCATCAACTAGTTGTTAATTAACATGCATATTAGCAGTATATTGTAACTTGATTACTCATTATAAAACACTAATGCCTTATTCTACATGACCATATTCTACAAGTAATAAGCCATTAGTTGAGAGTTTTTCCTCAATAACAAAATGTTAATCATCGTGAAAAAATTTTTTTGCTAATGCTAAATGTTGTCCATGTTTGCTTAAATAATTGCTTATAAATTGTTGATGAAAATAGTTTCCAGAAAGTTATTCCACCACAAGCAATTGAAATAATGCTTTTATAATTCTGATTTAACTTATTTTATAGGTGTTCAGAGACTTAAACTGTTGGAAAAACACACTTTTTGTTGTTTAATACCTAATTGTGTGCTGGAATCCTTCACACTGAGTTAAACATTACAATTTGAGTGACAAAATGCATCCAGCAGTCAACAACCCTAAATAACGGAATGACATGGATATAATGTGCTGAAAAACACAACAAATATGCAGAGATGTGCGTCTGTTTCTAAGGCCTTTTTTATTTTGGAACATTCTGATAATTTAAACAAAAGAGAACAGGATCAAACTGAAAAGATTGTGAATATTTTCTAGATACATTCATCATTGGTTCTTTTAGACCAGAACAGACTGCTAACTCAAAAGGAACTATCAAAACATCCCAATCAAAGTTTGGAGTCACAACATTTGATTAACCAAACAGATTATTGGAGAAACTACTCGGCATATTAATGAACAATGAAACTAAATGCCTTCAATGCAGCTAAACGAGGCTAGCAGTTTAATCCTGGACATATATTATTTTATAAAAGCAATAACAAGACTATTAGAAAACCATGGTTGAAACATAGCATAGTAGAACAATGATTTGAAGGACATCGGGAGAAACAGCATCTCTGAGGCCTTGTTTTGGCATAGTGTGAACGCTGGTTAGAACATAAAAAGATTTAGGAAAATACATGATGGGTTAGGGAGAAAAGAGCATCTCCTCACACCAGTAGGGTTTCGCTCCAGTGTGAACAAGTTGATGTGTTTTGAGAGCAACTGATGTCATGAACGTTTGCCCACACTCTTCACAGCTGTAAGGTTCCTCTCCTGTGTGAATACGTTGATGTATTTGGAGATTAGTTGATCTAGTGAATATTTTCCCACACTCTTCACAGCTGTAAGGTTTCTCTCCTGTGTGAACACGTTGATGTGTTTTGAGTTCACTTGATGTCTTGAACGTTTTTCCACACTCTTCACAGCTGTACGGTTTCTCTCCAGTGTGAATACGTTGATGTGTTTGGAGATTACTTAATTGAGTGAACGTTTGCCCACACTCTTCACAGCTGTACGGTTTCTCTCCAGTGTGAATACGTTGATGTGTTTTGAGATGATGTGATCTGATGAAAGTTTTCCCACACTCTTCACAGCTGTACGGTTTATCTCCTGTGTGAATACGTTGATGTGTTTTGAGATCACCTGATCTGGTGAAAGTTTTCCCACACTCTTCACAGCTGTATGGTTTTTCTCCCGTGTGAATACGGTGATGTCTTTTGAGATGATATGATCCAGTGAATGTTTTCCCACACTCTTTACAGCTGTACGGTTTCTCTCCCGTGTGAATACGGTGATGTCTTTTGAGATCACCTGAGCTAGTGAACGTTTTCCCACACTGTTCACAACGGTACGGTTTTTCTCCAGTGTGAACACGCAGGTGGCGCTTTAAATCTCCAGATGTTGTAAAGGATTTGTCACATTGCTGACAGCTGTGACATCTCTCTCTTCCTTTCGGTTTCTAAAACAGACGGACAGAAAAAGAGAGAAAGTCAATCTAAAAAGCATGAATACATATAGAGTCAACAATAAAAACGTACTTAATACTTAAAGGTGGGGTAGGTAATTTTGGAGAAACCAGCTCGAATGCGCTAGAATTTGAAAATACACAGCCGGTAAAGAAATCTGCTACTTCCTTACAGAGCCCCTCCTCCAACACACACGAACGGGCACATGACAAATGAGGGCACAAGATAAGTTTGTGCACAGATGGAAGGCTGACAGGCAGGTAGGCCATCCAGTTATTTTAGCCGGGCCGGCTCAGATGATTGGTCGTGCTTTTTACAGTACTACGGCTTCCACAGATGACATTTTGTTATGGATTTTTTGTCAAAGCACTTCAGATATTCATTGCTATCGGGATGTTAAGAGCATTCCATGGAATATAACAAAAAATGTATCTCGAGCCGGTTTCTAAAACGTACCATTCATCCAATTCATATACAGTAAACAAAATACTACTTGTACTAACTGTTTGTATTTATTATATTTGATACAGTAATACGGCAACATTCTAACCACAGTATATACCAGAGGTGGGGGACTCGAGTTGCATATTTTTAGACTTGAGACTTGATTAACATTGATAAAAGACTTGACACTCGACTTTGACTTTGACTTAGTATTCATGACGTGAGACGGATTACTTGAAAGGACTTTACTTTTCCAAAAAAAATATTTGCATTTGTATTGTACGAAGCCCCTAAAGGGCAATGGGAAAAAAGTGCACACATTATTTGAGATATATTTCAAACTAGGACTTAATCTTAGGGACATTTCAGCCAGGGGTGTAGAGATATTTGTTTAAACACCGGATTGGCAAAACAAGAGAGTCTGTGAACCAGAGGAGGGAGTAAGTACTACATGTGCAAGTCATGAGCAAGTCTCAAGTCTTGACCTACAAGTATCAAGCAAGTCCCAAGTCACTGTGATGAGTCAAGCAAGTCAAGTCATTGCTTAGGTCAAGCAAGTCAAGTCAAGTCATACAACATTCTGATGAATAAGCCCAGTTTCCGCATTTAAATCAGTTAAAAGACAGTGGTTATGAAAATGGATTCAACCCACACTATGATCTTCATTACATCCACAGTTAATCATTTGAAATCTAATTTAGACCGATGACAATCATATTAGATTCATATTAACCCTAGAACTGCAGACAATATAGCTAGGACTCAAAAAGTCTGTTCAAAAAGGCAGAATTCCAGGTAAGAAAATCATATATGGCATTTACATATTTAATTTAAATGTCTGTTAACACTAGAACCGCCAACAGCGTCAGCACCTACATAGATATCATTTTCAAATCATTTAATTTGTTCCTCTTCATAATTTCCTTATAAACTAAGTAGAACGATTTAAAACTTAATTAGGTTAATTTTGAAATTGCTTCAGTTTATCATCATAAAAGATCAAAAAGTTCAGATTCCTTTTACAATAAATCAAAGAATGATGCACTTCTACAAACAAACTACTAAAAGTAGATGAACTACATCAAGGGTGCCCACACTTTTTTGGCTGGTGAGCTACTTTTGAAATGACCAGCTCACCGAGGTCTACCAACTAAAAATAATATCCCAAATGGCAAGGGTTGCTGAATAACACGTTTTATTTATACATGGGATAACTACAATAGGGCTGCAACAAACGACTAATTTGATAATCGATTAATCTATCGATTAATGAAATGATTAATCGACTATTCAGACTATTACTGTATGCCTTGCACAATTTCTCAAACGCTCTTATTTAGCCATCAACTTTTAGATTTAGCTTGAGGTTGTTTTAGGCATGTGGAAACTAACAATGAAGACAATAAAGATGAATACTTGATTCAAAAATACATATATTATTAAATTAACAAATTGTGAACAAAATTAACATTGCTTTTTATTTAAATTAAATAAATAATATTTTCACATCAAAAGAAACAACAATGTTTTAACAAATCGTATTAAATAATCTGATGACAGAACTGTAAACAGAATAGCTGAAACTTTAAAAAAATAAAGAGTAACTCAGTTTCCTCTAATCATTAACCCATGTTTGTATAATTGTGTTAACTCCGTGTGGTGCTGCTAGCATACATAACACCTGACGTGGAAAAGTTACTCTTGGATGGGGGGGCTACAGAGCTACTACAAAGACAGTCGAACCCGGTGCACTTTTGCTAAATGTTTAGACAAACTGCTCGTGTTACCGCCCTCACATGCTAAACACTCTTGGCAACGAGCATTGTCCACCTCAAGACGGGTAACATTTAACCACACATTGGAGCTCTTCTCTCCGCCATCCCCACCGTGTGTTGCTGCATGTAGCAGCCGAGTGTGTGTAAACTGCCCCGCCCCCCTCACACACGGGGGAGAGAGATCTCGTCTGGATCGGAAAGATCGAAAATACACCGACCATAGACGCATTTTTTTGTCTTTTTGCATATTAGAAATGAGTTGGCGACACTAAGACTGTGAGATAATGTTTGTGTAGCAATAATACATGACCTTTCTCTTTCTCAACTCACTACTCGGAGGGAAGTCGCTGTCATATGCCTTGTGAACACTCCGATAATGCCTCTCCACGTTACCTTTTTTTGGCAGAGCGACGCTTGCTTTACAAATAAGGCAAATAACCTTTGAATGTGACATCACAACAAAATATTCTTCCTCCCATTCTGGGTGGAAGTGGTATGTCTTTAGCTTTTTGCTCGGTCCCGCACTCATTTTGTTGTTTGTCTCTTGTTTGTCTCTTTAACTTAATTTGAGTTTTCCCGGCACTTGACTGATTTTGTATCGCTTTGCATTCTGGGTTAACAGACTGGAAAGCGATAGGTCGCTTTTTCTGTCAATCAAGTAAACTCCTGAATTAAGTGGCAGGGAGGCCAAGGGAGGAGGGATCAAAACCTATTTTGTCTATTTTAACAGAGCTGGATTTATTTTATGAATGACTCGCGATCTACCAGCATTGCCCCCGCGGTCGACGTACTGGGCACCTCTGAACTACATTATTTAAAGGTTTACAGTAACTTCTGATAATAACACAGGGGAAATAAACTAGGCATCTCTTTTCCTCTCTCTCTCTCCCTTTCCTGACAGCCCGTCAGTATCAGGGTTAGTCAAAATGAATCCCTTGGCGGTTCTAGTGTTCATTTACCGTTTTGTCTTCTCTTTGCAATTTGAAACCAAGTCTAACGTAGCATAAACTTAACGTTAGCTTTCTACAACACAACATATGCACGTAGCCTACCTTTCTCTGTGGGTTTTTTTGTAGTGACGAATGAAGTTGGATGTTGTGGTGGTCCTGTCACCGATCTTTATGCTCCAGACCCTGCATACCGCTGTTCATTTCTTGTTAGCGTCATCGACAACATAATCCTTGAATCCAAACTTGACTATTTTTGGAGTAACGCTAGCCGCTGCCATGTTAATTGACCAGTGGCGAGCCGTCAGGGCCCTCTAGGCCCTCTGTGAGGGCCTAAGATATTCTAAAAAATAATATTTGAAAACATTAAAAAAACACATTTTTTTTAAAATATTATTTTTTATATTTTGTTGTTGTTACATTTTTCATTAGTTTTACCAAAATAACTTGATTTAATTGTATTTAAAATAATATTTCCAAAGAAATAAATCCTTCAAATCTGCCTGTTCAGTTTCTGTTGGAATGTGAAGGGTTAAATGCCGTCTCTGCAAGTTATGTGAAGACGGGAGAGCTTGTTGGTCCCTCTCTACATTCACAGAGGGCCAGCTATAGTAACTCAACGAGAGAGTAATGTCAAATGACAGTACAATTGACCAATCATATCTTCCCTCTAAATGGGCGGGCTTTATTTTCGCGGACTTTATGACAAGTTCCGCCCGCTGTGAGGTCTATGCAAGTGGTGCAGTGACGCTTCGTAAAACCTGGAAGTAAGCTGCGCTCGGATTCCCTCGACAGAAAGCAATGGGATTTCTCCATAGGATTTTGGAAAATAGCTCGAAATAAGGTCTGTGGAAAACGAACCTGTTAGATAAATGCACGTTGTGTTCAGCCGGATAATATCCACATGTCTACCCTACTTTTACTATTTTTGAATCATAAATCTAATCGATAGATTTATGATCGATAGATTTATGATTAGCATAAGTTCGTTCATGATTGCTCACTTCAGTGATAGTGATGACATCGTTGCGAAATTATTTTCAAGATTGAGTTACAATGATAAACTGGAGTGGCAAAGGATCAGAATGACCCGCCATCAAGTGCTTCATCCAAAAGGACAGGAGGATGGACTTTGTGTTTCAGTGATTTGATCATCAAAGGTAGGCCTAATAAGTCATTTTCAATGCGGGCCGCCGTACCGACTTAATTCATTTGTAATCGCTACTTGGCTGTGGGTGCCCTGTCATGATAGGTGTTTATATAAATGGTGTTGTTTTGTGTGGTAGAGGGTCGCTGTCATTGATGCGTTTTGCACCCCGGACCACTGTTTTGATATTCCGCTGAAGTCTACGTTGAGACGTAATATCTCTTCTTTTTTTTCGAGGGAAGGGGGGGTCAGAGGGCCTAGGTATAAAAGTCACGGCTCGCCACTGTAATTGACACTCCTGCCTACTAGTGGGTTGCCAGTTTTGCGCGCATGTTGCTATAATCACATTTCGAAAAAACTAAACGTAATATCTCAATACAAAAACAAACGGAAATATTTAATTTTCAAAAGTCAAGTCTTTTCAAGTCATCTGTCTCAAGCTTAAGTCAAGTCTCAAGTCAGGAATACCAAGTCAAAGTCAAGTCAAGTCTTTTATCAATGTTAGTCAAGCAAGTCTGAAGTCCAAAAATATGCGACTCGAGTCGGACTCGAGTCAAGTCATGTGACTCGAGTCCCCACCTCTGCTGTGAACCAGTCTGCCTTGATCTACAAGGCACCTTGGTGAATGTCTATGGCCCAAAATGACGACAGTCCCGCTTTTTTTGAGAATCAATTTTTAATGGTTGCATCCCTCCCAGGCAAAGTAATGATGGCAGGTGACTTCAACTGCACTCTATCCCAAAACTCGATCGTTCATCTGTCTTGAAATTAGAAATGAACAGGGGTCAATAACTACAGATCCGTTGGAAATTAATATTTGTGTCGTTCTATAAGAGGCTTTATCAATCTGATTATCCATTGAATTCGGTAAGTCAAAGCACTTTCCTAGATGGGCAGTCTTTTCCCAATATTTCTGTAGAAACAAAACTCGCAATGAATAGGGAACTGAACTTTGAAGATATTTCCAATGCCATCCTTAACATGAAAGGTGGTAAGGCCTCAGGACCTGACGGGATCCCAATTTACATGTATACATTTTTCAATGCAAAATTGAGAGTCCCATTGTTAAACATGTATGCATGGAATCATTCGAGCAGGGCAGCCTCCCCCCTTCGCAACAAAGTGCCTTAATCTTATGACATCGGCATGACTGGCCGGTACCGGAGATTGTTGTTGTTAGCATCTGGTGCTAGCTAGCTACGCTAATGGATATAAGGAGCTTTTTCAACAACAAGGTGGAGGGAGAACCCTCGTCTGTCTGACTGAGAGGCTCAGATAACCTCAGCTCAGTGAGGTAAAGGACTCTCTCAGTGTTTAGATAGTTACATTTAGTCCAAGAGGCACACATTTATATGATCATTATAGGTATAAAAAAATAAGAGAATAAATGAAAAACAGGTATGAAATACTATGACAGTAAAACAAGAATACAGTTTAAAAGGGGAGAGATTTGTAAAATATCCATAAAGAATAAGAAAATCTGCTTACAGTTCTGTTTCATATGGGTGTTGAGAGATGTATCCATATATCTCTTAATTTTGCTCTCAAAGTGCACCAGATTGATGCATTTAACTTTAATATTTATTTTAAATCTTCCCGGGGGAGCATGCCCCCCGACCCTCCTAGAGGAGGTTAGGTCCACACACCTATAAAAATAGCACTTTACCGCTGCTTACGTATGGCGTGTGGTATAGCGTGAGCTGATTATCGAGCCTTCATTGTAACAGTCGCGGATATACTGGGTATGTGCGTGGGCATTATTGCAGTACAAAGTTCAACTGTAGCGACCGGTACATTAATGGGAAACCCTAAATGTTTTGTTGACCTGTGATAAGACACATATTTTGCCAAATATCAGCATTTTCTTTCTTTTCATTTCTTTTCACAGATTGCAAAGTGGCAAAGTATTATAACTTATTGTTGTAGCAAAGGGATTGCAAAATTGTATTTATTTTTTTGAGCACAGACTTATGGAGCATTGTTTTATTATCAATGTCTGCCAAGTGATATTTTTTGATAATGAAAATAATAATAATTTTTAAAAGGAATGCTCACGTTCATAATGATGTATTTTTATAAATGTTAACTTGGCCCATTACATGACTATTTGTGTTGGAGGGACCCGACTTTTTTTTTTCTCCAGAGGGGGGCCTGACAGAAAAAGTTTGAGAACCACTGGGTTAGGGAAAGAAAAATGGTTAATATCCCTTCTACAAGCCAGGCGCTCAATTGCTTTGTGTTGGGAAAATGTTGGTTGCCCCTCCCTGGGCCACAGGTTAAACACTTTAACTTTGAGTCTGGCTCTTGAGAAACTCACATATATACTAAGGAAGAAAGCTTCTGAATTTTACACCATTTGGGAATTGTTTTTGGAATTTATAAAAAGTGGGGACATTGCAGAAGCGATGGAAGATTAAAGTGAACTAATCTACTGTGAGGAAAGGTTGAATTTGGTTAATCTATTTGGAGAATTGTAAGCTGTACTCTGCTCTGTTAGTGGATCTGCTTTTATTGTATTTTTGTTGAAGTTGCTAATGTAATTATATTCTTGGTCTGTATTTTAAACTGATTGATGATTCTAGTATCTGCACACTTTAAAAAAAATTGCATTATTTTGTAATCTGCCATATGTCTAATGTTGGGGAATGTTCGGTTGTGTTTGTGTAATTTCATAAATGTAAAAGATCAATAAATACATTTTTATATAATTTTTTTTAAATACAGCAACGTTCTAATCAGAGTAAGTAGTAACGTTCTAACCTATATCTAACCATATTGTGCATTACTATTGTATTTTCTAAACAGGTTGTGATCTTTCATTTGGGGATAACAATGTTAGGAATATATTGTGATGAAGTGCACACTGACCTGAGCTCCAGGGGTCTTTTTGTTCTCCTCCATGCTGCTCTCAGTGCTCCTTCTCCGGCTGTGTCTCTGAAATAAACAACACAACTACAGCTGACACAAGACAACTCAATACAACCAACAGACACAACAAGACCAATCTACAGCTACGTCTTTGGTTGATAGCAGAGGTTGAGAAGTAACTAAGTACATTTACTCAAGTACTGTACTTAGGTACTATTTAGAGGTACTTGTACTTTACAATTGAAAAGGAATCTAACTTCGATACAACCAACGTTAATATCTAGGTCGTCTCCGATACCGAACTCAGATGCTGATAAGGCTCCGGAAAACGGCCGTCCTATCTTTAGGACTAACCCCAGAATCGAAATGCAAGATCACCGTAATCTGTTTAGGGGGGCAGCTAACAGCGTGGCCTCTGACACCAGCTGCCCGTCGTATCACTTATTTCAGGCACTAAAGCATCAGATGTCCGACCGCCAGGATAGCAAAACGGAGTTTGTAGTGCAGTAGGTGTTGTTGGGCTGGTAGAACCCAGAGCAGTATCTAAACTGCCCCTGGAGGAGAAACCCTGTGTGGTTGGGAGACTCCCTGGTAATTAGGGCAGCTTCAGGACCCACAATCTCTAACCCCATCTTTTAACCAGTTATGCCAATTAAAACAATGAAAATGTAATATCAAACATAGCCAGAGTCAAATACTGATATACAGCAGTGATATTACCACATCAGCAGAGCACATGTTATATTTCAGCATCAATCAAAACCACATCAACCACAGTAACCAATATGAAACTACAGTTTAACCTTAGCAGGGTTTCTATTTCCCTTAAACAATTTAAAGTCCAAATTATCAACTAGAGTCAGCCTTTTTCAAGGAAGGGTGTTCTTACCTTACTCTAAGACCAAGCAGATACCTTCAGAGACCAGGAATTGGGTCGAAATGTTTAAATGGTTTTTAACAAATATAGAAGATTTACAAGATCCAAAAAAATAACAAAAGTTTTACAAGGACACAAGGTCAAAGTACAAAAGCAACAGGTTCCCAAGTGAGCCCCCTAGAGCCCTAAAAAAGCCCAAGCCCAAATTCAAGCCTCAAAAAAGTCCCCCAAGCTCCCCCGTTTCTCTTCACTCATCTTTTATAGCCTCTTCCCTCCTCCCTCTCTACATCAGATGGTTTCCCCTTTTCTATCTTTGAGTGAGAAGGAGGTCACATAGGTTCAATTCTTACTCAGTGAATCAATTAAAAATGTAAAGTTAAAATTAAACAAATGAAGACTATAGTAATGATATGCAATTTTAACAAAAGGGAATATGAAATGTGTTATGAAAGCAAAACACATTTTCAATGTCATGTTTAGAATTGAGATTTATTTTAACTTCAATTGAAAATATGCACATTTCATTTATTAACAGAAACAACCTGAACAAAAATGTCTCTAAGATGTGTTGCTCCTGGATGTTGGACCGAAAATCATCAAGTCTGTACACAGTTCGCTCTCATCCTGTGTGCATTGTTGTCCTCAATAGTTGTATGTGCGGGCATGTATGCATGTTGGTATGGATGTGTGAGCATATGTTTATGTGTGTATATGTTTATATAGATATATTTATTCGTTTTATGTGGAAATGCACTGCGAGGATTGCTTTTTTAAATTTCGTTGTACCTGGTGCGATGACAATAAAGGAATTATATTCTATTCTTCTATTCTAACCGTTGTCAAGGTGTCAAAAACCACAACAACTTCCTAGAATTGTGGTTTGAACTTTTATGCTTTGCTTGCACTTTCTAAAATGCATAATGTGCATATGTTAAGAGTTCAGGCTGTTCTGTCTAGTTTCACATGTCTGGTAAGACATTATTGAATACCTTTAGTTACCCCACACACACACACACACACACACACACACACACACACACACACACCACACACACACACACACACACACACACACACACACACACACACACACACACACACACACACACACACACACACACACACACACACACACACACACACACACACACACACCACACACACACACACACACACACACACACACACACACACACACACACACACACACACACACACACACACACACACACACACACACACACACACACACACACACACACCTTGATAAAACACTGCCGTTAAACACACTAATCTCCCTTTAATCAATGCCTTTACTTATGTTTACCGATTAGCAACGTGGTGTAAAGGCTATGAACAAAGAACGGGAGGCCACAAAAACACGGTTTAACGGATAAAAACACGGATAAATCACCCTACAAGGATAAACTACCTGTTTGTATGTGTTTTAAAAGTCTCTTAAATACATTACATTCGGTGTAAAATCTGCGTCAACGTCTGTTAGCAACCTCTAGCTTCTGAGGACCGGAAGCTAGAAACGGACAGCCGCAATGCATCATGGGATTTTAGTTTTTCTTTTAAACATAAATTCACTGCCTCAGTGTGGTGAAAAACGGTATTCAAATAAATATGAATTACAACAATAACAATAATATATATAATAATAATAATAATAATAATAATAATATATAAATATGGGACTGGTATGGCGGATTTTAAACGTTGGGAAAAATGTTTTTGTTTGTGATCATACATTTGATTTCCATTATATAGGTTTTGATAATGATTGATCATTAAATTGTTATCAAAGCTGGTAAAGGTGCAGCTAGTTTGATTGCCTTTGTATACTGCAGGGTAGCTTGTGAATTTACTCCAGGTGGAACTAAAGTCTGATTTAAGTGTCCCTTAGTAAAAGTAGAAGTACTCAGATCTTGAACTTGAGTAAAAGAAGTACCAGAGTGTAGGAATACTCTGTTACAGTAAAAGTCCTGCATTCAAAATGTTACTCAAGTAAAAGTAGAAAAGTTTTATCATCAAAATATAGTTAAAGTATCGACAGTAAAAGTAGTCATTGTGCAGATTGGTGCATTTCAGAATAATATATATGATATGTTTTATAATTATTGATCATTAGAGTGTTATCAAAGCTGGAAAAGGTGCAGCTAGTTTTAATGAATTTGTATACTGCAGGGTAGCACACAAAAGTCCTCTCCTGCTGATGTTCAGGTGTATATCATGTGTCTCTACTTTAAAGAGTCCTCTCCTGCTGATGTTCAGGTGTATATCAGTATGTAGTGTCTCTACTTTAAAGAGTCCTCTCCTGCTGATGTTCAGGTGTATATCAGTATGTAGTGTCTCTACATTAAAGAGTCCTCTCCTGCTGATGTTCAGGTGTATATCAGTATGTAGTGTCTCTACTTTAAAGAGTCCTCTCCTGCTGATGTTCAGGTGTATATCAGTATGTAGTGTCTCTACATTAAAGAGTCCTCTCCTGCTGATGTTCAGGTGCAGGGCCGCCCCTCCCTACAGGCCAATCACGCAGGCTGCATGGGGCCCCGCCTTGCCCAGAGGGCCTCAGCTGCTGTGCGCAGTTCTCCGCTCAGCTGCTGTGCGCAGTTCTCCACTCAGTTCTCCGCTCAGTTCTCCGCTCAGTTCTCCGCGCACCCCCCGCGAGAGTGAGAGGTGACAAGGGGAGCACGTCTGTAACCCGACACCGTTGCAATGAATCGACATCTGACCAATCACGGCTTTGATACGGCCACTAGTGCAGGTGAAGAGATGTCGGTGAAAAGACTGTTTCAGTCCGGAGCAAGCAAGAGGGAAAAAAAACAAAACATGAAGAAACCAGAGCATCACTCGAAGGTGGGTTATTGTATGAGTCAAATGTACAACTTGCGAATGTTGTATAAGTCAAATTGCCATATTAAAACATCAGCTGCAATTCACAACATGAAGAAGGCAGTCTCTGCATAGCATATAGGCTAATGGAGATGCAGTTATTTCCAGCATTCTTTATTTACCATTCTTATGTCAATTTGCACATTTCATGGTGATGCTCAGCCTCTCCCCTTAACTCCTAACAGTCATCATCATGTCAACCACAACACAGAGCAATACTGATATAGATGTGTGTGTGTGTGTGTGTGTGTGTGTGTGTGTGTGTGTGTGTGTGTGTGTGTGTGTGTGTGTGTGTGTGTGTGTGTGTGTGTGTGTGTGTGTGTGTGTGTGTGTAGTTGTTGATACATTGCTGACAGAGGGAACTAGAATACAGATTTAAGAAATATCAGTTTTTGAGCATGTCATAAGCATGTTTTGTCTTGACTATATTACAACTATATTATAATAAAAATAATATATTATTTATATTATTGAATTGATTATGATTATTATTATTAGTAGAAGTAGTTTATTTGCATTAATTATATTTTAATCTTTTTGAGGCTAGTATTTGGCAGGAAATGCAGACGTATTCACCTGTAAACGCATACTGAACGACATACATGCACATTTACCATTTACCTCACTGTATAAAAAAGTAACTGTGTTGATAATAATAATAAAAAGGAATTATATTTGCAAAGTAGCCTAAAAAATGTTTCACTCCTGTCGGTTGGGGGGGGGCCTCATCTCACAATGTCGCTTGGGGCCCCAAGTTGGCCAGGGGCGGCCCTGTTCAGGTGTATATCAGTAGGCTATGTAGTGTATCTACTTTAAAGAGTCCTCTCCTGCTGAGAAGTAAAAACAATAAGTGTGACTTGATATTGAGTAAGAAAAAGGTTGATAAACGCTGTGTGAATGGATTTACGGGTAGCATTCGCTCGCGATCTCAAGTCGTCTACAACATACGTTTAGGGAGCTATATAGAAGCCTCTGGACATCCCGGAAAGTTGAAAATGTACGCTAAGGGCCCCCCCCCTTGCGTTGGAAAAAGCCGACATGGCCGCCCCCCCTTGCGTTGGAAAAAGCCGACACAGGGGACTTGACATAACACATAGGCCGACCTGGGAGTGAGGATGTGTTGCCTCCACCCACTACAATTACACGCCCCAATGTTATATTAAACTAATATGTAACTCCCTCCACCCCGGATAAAAGCATGTTAAGAAGCCCTTTTTCTCTAATTCCACAACGTTGGATAAAATAACATTAGGAGAACGGATTAATAGGCTGTTCATGGTTAACGTATGGTGCTAACTTTATCCGGTATCCTAGCCTAATCTGTTATCTGTAAACGTTCCCTAAATCAGTAGATCTAGGTATAACATCCTTTAATACACATGTTAATTTGACTCAGATAATATCCGCAATATAAATATTTAAACGTCTTCTTACCTGTAGGAGCCATGAAACATGTATAGTATTGCGTTTTGTTTTAATATAAGATATTTGTTTGAGCACTATTGATTAGTTGGCTTGGGTCACATGGATATGTGCGGCACTCATTATAATCCTGTTCACCTGCGTGAGGTGTGTGGGGAAGAGAGGGTGACACAGGGTCGTTGTACTTTTTGTTGACCGCAAATTTACATTATTGCTCTGATTAATATAATGATGTACATGTCCAAGGAGAATAAATTGATCATCCCAGTTTTCATTAAACCACACAAGTTTTTGATCTCAGCAAGCAAGTACTTTTTTGTAGCATGACACACAATATCAAACAGGCCCGGCCTCAGCCTCTCAGCGACTTTGTTTGTTTCCTGCTGTCGCTACATTTTGTCAACAAAAAACAACAAGCACACAAGACGTAAGAAGAACCATCATCAAACAGCGCATGGATTAAGGATCTATCAAGGAGAATGGAGATAAGCAATTGTTTGAAATAATTCACGGAGGTAAGCACTGGCTGTTAATAAAGACTGCCGTTTTGGAAGCCGCCTTCAACGCGGATCACAGCCAGGCCTTACCACTGATTATGCACATTAAGCTCCATGGAATGGACGAAGTTTGTTACCACTGTATATATCCGCTGTATATATCCGCTCTGTCGCATTGAAGTTGCGCCGCTCTGTTTATGTGGAAATGTGATGCTTTTGAAGGAATGAATTCCCTTGCGATCTATGAGGGTGTTTTACAATCAAACAAATACACGGAGGAAGTTCTGATAATCAAACGGAGAAAATTAGTCAAATAAATGTTGACATGGAAAGTGCTGAAATGGACTATGGGAAAAGAGAACGCAAACTCACTGCGAAGGCATTGGTAAATAACATTGAACAACTTCAGGAACGTAAAACCAGTGTGAACAAAATAAAAGCACTCATACCAGAAATAAAAGCACATGAGAGAAAAGGGAAATGCCTCACGTGTGCAAACTCATTTAGAGAATGTAATTCAACTGGGTGAAAAAGCCATTATTTCACATGAAATGTTGATTCCTTTACTCCCAGAGGATGAACTAAAAAAATAAAAGGAATGGTTTGCCAGTATTTTGGAATACAGTGAAAACTTTCAGAGGGACATTAAACAGTGTTAAAGGAGCCACAAGAGGATTTTGCCACAATAACTGCTGCTGTGCTGGGCAGGGGCGTCGCCTGGGGTAGGCATGTAGGATAGGATGTTTTTTCTTAAGCCCCGGACAAATTCTCCCTCAATAATATAATACATTAACCTACTTTACCTATAGGACGGACAGCAGAAATGTAATTTCCCATGTTCAGTGAATGCAACACAGAGGCAAGACGACGCCACCAGACCAATCAGAGAGTTGCATGGAAATACACGTGTTTTATTGGCTGACAGGTACGTACCTCTCCTCTGTGACAATGTTTAAACTTTAAACTGTCAGCCCCGGACGCGGAGATTCTGAAGATGGACATTAGACATTTATTTAATAAAAAAGACGGCAATTCTCAAGTGGTGGCTCACACAACAACCCCAGAGCCACCACCTGAGCCAGATGAACAAGGTATGTACCTGTCAGTAAACTTACAAGTTATGCGAACATGTAAGCAAAGCATACATTATAGCTACGTTGACGTTACTTGGAATCGCGCGGGTAAGCTAAACCGTTAGCAAGTAGCTATAGCTAGCCAGATATATTAAATAAACACT